ATCCCTAGTTATTATTTTACAATGAACTTTGCATACAAATGCCCAAATTCATTGTATAAAGTTATATGGATAGTCTCATTAAAATATTTTTATATAAATCAGGTTTCATCACAAACATACAGCTTGGATGCTAATCTTTGTCTTCTCCGCCTCTATCAGGTTAGTCTTTGCTTGTGTTTATATGAAACACTCCAAAAGATCTACTCACCACCACAGGAAGTTTTCTTTTTTGTTTTTTCAATCAGTTTAATTTATTGAAGGGGTTTTAAAAACTTAGTATGGCACTTATTTTTTCCTTATTGCAGTTTGAGCCAGAAAGAATGAGTACCCAAATTGTTGCCCGCGTTTTGGTTAAGGTATGATGAGATCACTGTTTAAACATTTTAGATGTGTTTATTTGCTGCTGCTTAATGAGTATCAAATACTCAGTTTTCTCTTTCCTCCCGAGTGCAGGCTCTTATGGCAATGCCAGCTCCAGATTTCAGCCTTTGTCTCTTTTTAATCCCAGAACGAGTGGTATCATTCTTATTCTTAGTTTTGAACATGTCTTATACATTGGATTTGTATTAGAATTCTACAATTAAGTTTGCTTGACAGGGAGGCCTTTCCTTTTCCGTTAACACAAATATACGACAAAACTCAGTTGTGGTTTGGAATGAACATATAGTGTAAACAATCATTTAGTGAGAAGTGAGAACTTCTCATGTATGCTTGTTTATTCAGATAAGTCTAACATCTTCCTTAAGGAATCTAATGACATTATAATTATACTGAAAACTAGTCCTTCAGTTAGCAAGTTTTGGGGACTGTCCGCCGTCAGTGGATCTTGGAATAGAATGACCTGACCAATGAATGAGAGCAAGCCTCATTACAACTAATTGTGTCAAATTTATCGTTGAAGTAAGACCCATCAAAATGCTTGTAAGTATCTGTATTCATGTATTTGAATGTGCGATTATGGATAGGATTTATGTCATATGAGTATTTGAGTTGATACTTTGATGCAAAGATCTTAAATGCCCGTTGAAGTATGTTTTTATGGCACATTTAGACGTACAATGGAATTCGAACGTGTTTGATGTGCTTTTCATGAGATTTGAAGGAAATAGTTGATTACATTAGAATTAGGCAACTGAAAGCATTGGATAGAAATTAGAATGTATTTCTATCAAAAAAAGAAGAAATTGGATTGTATTGACGTGACATTACTTGTGTTGTAATGTGAGAGGGCTACAATTTGCCTTCTTGTTGCATTCATGGTGCTGAAGTTTAAGCTGTGGATGCATTCTAAATATTCAATATCAGTTCATTGTAGAATTGGTAGGAATCAAATTTTTGGAATGCTTAACTAGAATCATACATTAGGAATAAAATTTTGGAATGCAGGATATGAAATTTGTCTGTGCTTTTCTTGTCTTCATCCTCTTGTTTTTGTTGCTTCTTGCACCATTCATTTTTGACACCTGGTGTGTCTTAATGATACTCATGACACCAAGAAGGAAGCCCTGAGTGCTCCAGTGAAAGGTCTCCCGTTTATTGTGTGTGAATATGGCCAATGAATTGGCTCTTCTTTGGAGTAATTTGGCCTTGTTAACAACTCTGAATAGAGGTTAGCTGATTTTAGTACGAGCAGATTTGTGCTGGGAAAAAAATTCTAATCTATCGTGATATGAGCAGTGTCTGAGTTCTCATTTCCTCGTGGTATCTCTTTCCATTTTTCCTCGGAATGGGCTAGTGGGCAGGCTGTGAGGCCCAGTAGGGGCATCTGGGTTTGGGGAACAGAGGGGATTCAACCCCATGGGCTGGGCTAGGAAAAAAAGGGCCCCCTCCATCTCGGTGAGCAACAATGGATGATTTCTCTGTGAAAATTGGCAGAGATGTTTCCAACAAGTTCTTGTGATCTTTCCTATGGAAAAATGAAGGACAAATTGTGATTTTTTTTTTGATGCAATCTGAGTGTACTTTGTAATTTGATAATGTAAAAGATGTTTATTTTATGGTCTTCAGTGTCATTGACTAATTAATATAGTTGTGGTTGGTGAAATACTTATTTTACTCCTCCTTTCATTTACCAGCAAATGGAGGATCAATTCAAGACTCTAATTGTTCTCTCACACTATTTGGAGGTATGTCTTGATTGAATATTTGGCTGCATACATTTGCATGAGATAAATTGATTTTCTGTACCTGCTCCATCTGCAGACAGCAAGATTCCATCAGTTCTGGGATGAAGCAGCTAAAAACCGCCACATAGTTGAAGTTGTGCCTGGTATTCTCAGTTGAAACATGGTTGTTGGTCTTATCTTTCTCAGATTTATAGTGTGAATAAAATGTGCTTATGTCCTATTTATATATTATATCACTGCAATTTACGGACTAATGGAGATGAAAAGTTAGGTTATCAAATGCAGTACAGTAAGACATTTTGAGTTTCAATGCTATTTGGGCCTTTTGCTCCATTATACTATGACATAAGAGAGCAACAAGAAACACGAAGTGAAGTATTTGTGAATTAGTTTGTGAAACATCAATATGGATATTTTGGCAGTGCAGCTCTTCCTTGCAGCATGCTGCTTGTATGTCTACTCAGCAAGGATTTGGAATTATGTTTGTACATGACTTTTGCATGGTATTGTCGTACATAAGGGCACACCACTTTGCTGCAATCATCCTCAAAACGTGTCATTTCACTACCCTAATTTCCATCTCCTCCTTTTGTTTTGGGAAAATTAAGCAATTCTCAGGTGCTAGTTTAGCCTTCTGTTCTTATGGAAGAAGATATATTCAATGCTATAAGTAGATTCTCCTAGGGGCTATTGCATGCATCAGAGATCTCCTATTTAGTAGACCTTGCTGCTCTTTGACTCATGAATTCCATTTTCTTCTGCTCCTTGTAACTAATGGTGAGTTTGGCTTAGTTTTCATTACGTAGAACAAATGGAGAGTTGGGGTTATCTTATTATCAAGTTTTATGCCCTTGTTGCTGCTGTTAGCAATGTTGTTTTTATTGATTTCCCCTTTGTTTCTTTTATCAATTTGTGTGCATTACACCTCACAACAAGATATAACACAGGATTTGAACAAGCAATTCAAGCCTATGCAATTCATGTCCTTTCACTGACTTACCAAAAGGTTCCGAGGTCTGTTCTTGCTGAGGTATGATTGTCATTTTTCTTACCTTTTCTTTTTATATTTCCCCTTGCCATTTGTTAATCGTATTTGCTTTAGCTTTTCAATACACTGTTTGTGTTTGCATCATGGGAAATTGGAATCTGTCGTCAAGGAATGCTAACTGTTATTCTCATTAACTAGTAGCAGCAATTTAACATTTTAAACTTCACATGATCAAGGGCATGGTTAGTGTGAATGAATTATGAAAATACACCCAGATATTTCTGGATGTGCATGTAGTTTGAGGCAAGTATAAAGAAGCATACTTATGGATTTCTGTATGTGTTTAGTGCGAGTACTGATTGTTTGTGGGTTAATTATGAAGTCCACTGGATTTGTAATGAGGTTTCCTGCATTGACTTATTTTTGTTGCTCAATCCACCCAGTTCAAACTAAAGTCAACTTGGTCAAGGGAGCCTTCTTCCTCGCATGGCTTTACCCCTTGCAGTGGTCACTTCCCCCCCCCCCCCCACTCTCTCTCTCTCTCTCTCTCTCTCTTAACTACCCTATAATTTATTTTCCCATGACAAAGTTTTGATTAGGTTTGTGTATTGTCACAGGCCATAAACATAGAAGGTCTATCTCTGGACAAGTTCCTTGAGCACCAGGTAGCAAACTTTGGTTGGGTTCTTGAGAAAGGTCAAGGTAGGGGCCAACTCATTGCCCTACCTCACAATGAGTTCAACCATCCAGAGCTAAAGAAGAGTACTGCTGATAGCATTGTGTTGGAGCACATTACCCGTATCTTCCCCATTCTTGGCTGAGCTATGGACAGGAGGATACTGGAATGTTAAATATTTTCTTGTTTTAAGCAGCTTATTGGGAGTACAATTATCTAATTGAGTTGTAGCACCACCTTTTGAATCTGAGGCACATGCATAGATGTTCCATTTTGAGTAACTCAGTAACCTTGCCCTTTTTATATGCAAATTGCAAACTGTGGTCTTTTGATGTTGGGAAACGTTTAATTTACTAAAATGATAGATTTGTGGCCTTATGCCAAGCTCTTTTCATAGGATATATACCAGTTGTTATACTGATTTTCTACCCAAGTATGCAACCTAAATCCTTTTGTGACCGTGGGTGTGATTTACAAGCAAATAGTGCCTGACCATGTGAGGTGATCTATCTAAGTAAGATGAAAGGAGCGCTTCTTGACGAGATGATTTCAAAGTTGTCCAGTGAAACGTGACCTGTTTAAAGGTGGTATACTAATTTGAGTAGGGCCAAATAGGTCTCTTTTTGAAATCAATGTGCTGAGAAATTAAGAGATCTGTGTATAAATGGCTCTGGTATGGTGATGGTGGTACGGCTTACAGAGGTAGCTTTTCGTATTCATCTTGGCGTTGCATTAAATAAAAACAGGGATTTTACCACTTGTCCAGTACATTTATTTCTCTCGAAAAGTGTACCCCATTGTCCGCGCTGCTTTCTTATGCTCAAAACAAAACAAAACAAGGAAAGAAATCTAGGGACGCCAAAATTAGTCCCAGGCGTTTTTGTTAACAAAATGCTCAACTGAACGTCACAAACTTGTATTAAGGAAAGGGTTGGATGTTGATGGCACAAACATAATGGTTCCAACAATGGTAGGACTTGGTTCAATAACTTATAAGCGAAGTCAATCATTAACACAGAAGACATGTGGATGTAAAGAATCAATGACCAAAAATTGTAATAGGCGCTCCCATGTGCTAAGATACATCTATTTACAATATTTGAACCCACAGAATCCATAAACTAGTTGAAGGGAGAAATGAAAAAAAATAAAATAAAGAGAGACAGAGAGAAAGAGCTCCAGAAAGAATCTTGAAAATGTTGGCTATTTACTCTTGTACTATGATATCTGGCTCCAATCGAGGTTTTCACGGTTGAATTAATGCTTGAAATCCATAAGCGAGACCAGGGGAATAGCTTTGACAGAAACACATCACACAAAATAATGCTTGTACAACTGGTTATGTTCCCCCTTGTTTCCATTACCTTTCGTACGCACTATGTATAACAGTCTCCATGGAAAGGCATTCTCAGCATACGCTCAGCTGAATGAGTGCTGGTGCAAAGGAACTCAAGCCCACTTTCAATGGCAGATCGTCTCTCCAAACGTTACCCAGCGTACAAAGCTATCCGAAAATTCCCCAGGAACTTCATAATTTTGGGCATCATCATAGGATAGCTCAGTTCCAGTCTGCTCCCTCACCTACCAGCGTAGCACAGAATTGTGAATTTGTGTCATTAAATGGAATGGATATAAAAAAGATTTCTACAGAATTTCTCCTAGCAACTTCAACCCACTATTCCGGTATGGCAGAGCACAAACATACTTCTCATTTTTCCCTCACTTCTTTTTGTTGCTTTTCATCCTTTTTTTGAGTCAATATGTCCTCGACCACCAAAGACATGATAATAAAATACCAAGACCACTGGTGATTGTGTAGTATATATTTTAGGAATGTATAATTGTAGCTGTCCAAGACAAAATATGCAGTTGCACGGTATATTTGCTAAATATATTTCTGGCGCTGTGTTTGTTCAGGTTTTGCCGTGAATTGTATAAGGTCTATTCACATCAAGGTCTTCCAACATCTCAATGTTAGAACCACCATTATCTCTAATGTTTTTGCCGGCATACTTCCTTTACCATTGCAGTTTTAGTTAGCATTTTCAGATTTGGGAGTCTTGGCTGCAGAGCAGTATGGAATAGTAAAGGCCTTTATCTTGGACCGTGTGTACATTCATCAGACTTCAATGAAGTTAAAATTGATCGGATTCAGCGCACCTTACCTAACTCACCCGCTTGAGAATCAAATAAGAAAAACATATAGCAAATACCCTTTTTTCTTTAAACAAAAAAAGAAGGTACAATAAAGAAAGACATCGAGTATGAAAAAGAAAGAGCTTACCAAATAACATTATCTTTGATAAATTGAAGAAGAAATTGGCTTTCAAAAAGCTGAATTTTTTAATAGGTTATTCACTTTAGTAGATGTTCTTTGGAAAGCGAATCTTGGTCTTTATCCTTTTCTAGATGATTCAAAAGTTGCGGAGATTCAAAGGTTGTTTCTTCATATTTTTTTCTATCTCCCTAGTTTCCCTATGAAAAAGATCACTCTTTTATTGCTAAGACAGAAGCTAGGAAAAATGTGGCAAATCACACAACCATATAAAGAATATATTATTGTTATGGATGCTCCTCTCCTTGCTTTTGAATGCATATTTGAGAATCGAATTTGGACTTATTCTCATAGCTTTCTCAAAGTCAACTTTCTCCCTTCTTCCTTAAGTTTTAATAGGGGTGTTAAGACTGGCATAAGATCACAGCGTACTTGGATGACAAGTGAATGCTAACTTAGCGAGACTTTGACGTATATGATGTTAGAATCAAGATTTTTCCCCATCTAATCAAAAAATGCTGGACATTTTTTAGACCCACTGTAAATTAAGAAATAGCAAATAGCATTTCATGACTCCAAGCGTAAAGATGAATGCTTTCCAACTTCCACCATCATTAGTTGCAGCATACCATAGTAATCATTATTCCATCTTTATGTATGAATTCACCAATTTTCACCACATATTTTAACATGGGATCCAAATATAAAAACTAATACCATTACTTGGGAGTTGCATTTTTGGGGTAGTTTGGATTGCTACTGGCAGAGGTCACTATAACTTTATTGCATGTTTCACACATGTGGACATGCTTAACACTATCCTTGCACAAAAGTACTAAATTTAGATTGATGAGAGAATGAAACTAGCTTGACAAAAATGGTAACCGACCTTCATGCATGATCCATATTCACTGGTGGATGGGGTTGTTTCTTCTACAGGGTCATTGATAACATTGTCAGATGACAGTCCAGCAATAGGGGAGTTTGTCAGCATGGACCTGCAAACATGGAAAAGAGAGTGAGGAACCAAGTGTCTCCTCAGAAATTCAATTATCAGATATCTTTCCTAGTTATGAACATTCCAGTTAATGATACTTGTTAAAGGCCAACAAGCCTATCCAGAATAGGTTCACCACCACAAATTTTGAGCCTCTCCCCATCGCTGATGCTATTTAAGCTAATTCAGTCATGGGTCAGCAACATTCTTGTTATCGAGTTTGTCAAAAAATAAGCAAGTGTATCATCCAGAAAAAGTAGAACCAGTAAATATTCTACCAATGGAGAAGGGACCCTTAGAAAATATCAGAAATGACAAACGAAAGCAGAAATACCCCCATGGGGACCAACATGTGTTAGGCAGGTGGCCTAAACGTGTTTTGGAGCATTAGATTAGACGAGCGCTATAAGAAGCCCAAAGAAACATGAAACAGGGACATGTGATGTCCCGTAAAACGTTGAGGTACATCTATTTGTTCACTTTCACAACGGTTATATGAAACCATTTGTTATCTGTTCTCTGAGAGAAAGGAAGCGAGATTGAAGATCTTGTGAGCACAACTGAGCAATACTGGATTGTTATAAAGCTAAACCAACCAATAAAACAAGATGATCAGGTACAATCTCTTCATCAATCTTCAGCAAACTCCAACAATTATGCAACATAATTTTGCTTTTGCATAGCAATTGTGTCACAAAGAAAACCGTTACTCTTTCTTTGTCTTAGATTGAGGATCCTTAGTGGTGACTTCTGAATAGCTAAGTGGTTTTAAAAGTGCCATTTTGACATATTATTGCTTGCAAGATTGTCTCCCTATCAGAACTCATCAAAGAATTACCTCTCAAACAATTCTTCCTCACATGAATTTCCAGAGGAGGAAAGCCAGTCTAAATCAACGAAGTTTGAGCAGTCAAGTGCATCACCATTATCATTTTCGAGGCATCTTTCTCTCTGCATGTCTACAAAAAGCTCTCTACGTGGCATAGAAGGAGTATACCTATATGAAAAACATTCAACCATGACAAGCCAAATCAGATGTTACAACTACAAGAATCAAAGTAAGAATAAGAGTTCCTATGATAAAATACAGGTGCATACTACCCTGTAACTTACATAGCAATGTCATGTAACAATGATCACGCCAATAATCGTTCAATGCACACATCTCAGTGGAACAAAAAAATTCTAGGAGTACTTCGCAAAGAATAAAATTAAGAGCAAAGCCTAAGGTGAGAGTGAGAATAAACCTTCTAAAAGTAACATGCTCGGATAAAAGATGGAAACATCTATCTAGTTTGATAATACAAAACAATATTAAGTCAAGTGCATGAGCAATGCATATGATTGCGAAGAAGAACACACGAGGTTTACAACCTCCCAGTTGGGGTCCACCCAGGTGTCAGCTTTCTCCCATTAGGCTTGTAAATCCTTTGCTCTTTTTCTTTATCTCTTCCAGTTCTCTCCCTCTACTTTATTTGACATAAGAAAACTTAAGCTTACATGGTGCAATAGTTCTCCTTTATTTTATTTTATTTTGCTCATGGGGATGTGTAGCATGCAATAGGTTCCAATGTACAAATTAGAATAAAAACAGTGCAGAAGATGTGGAAGTAGAAAAGGAACAGCGAATATACTCTCAATTTGAGCAAGAAAAAATCCATTTTCAAAATTTTTTTTTAACCATGTTTCTTAAGTACCTCTTCTTGTTTAAAGCAAGAGGCTAGGTCAAGATATGGTCTGGCAAACTAAATCTCATTTTGAAACGTCTAAAACGTTTCTATTTCCATGAAAACCGAAATGAATCGGCGATTAAATTTCGAAATTCCAATATTTCAAGGTGTTTCGGTATATTTCAATAAATATTTAGGAAACATGAGATCCTTGCATATGGTTAGACGAAATCAGATGCAATGACTACTTGATGAGCACAACTGGATGCTTCAATAATTGTGTCGTTGTTTGCCTGCGCCTGTAAAGCGGTAGAAATTATTGCTACCATCTTGCACTCAATCAAAGGATATGCCACATTATCTTCAATATGTGCTATATTGTAGACGAGTTTGGCATCACAATTATACAGACAAGAAGACTACTTGGCTATATGCTTTTGGTCTTGTCTCTGCAAGTGGTTCCTCTACCTTTATTTTTGTATTAAGATCTCACCAACAACAGGAACATCAAAATGGCCCCAACAGACAAGGCCGCCAAATAATATACATAGTGAAGTTGTCCATAAGAGTTAATTTCTTTTTCTTTATTTATTTATTTATTTTGGATAAGAAACAACACTTTTATTCAGTGTCGGCCCATCTTTTAGGCCATTGACTAGAGCCCCCAAATAGAAACAAAACTTTAGGGCCCCAAAATAAAATTGTAGACAATGCTTTTAGACTTAATTTTTGAAAATCTAAAAATTTAATGCATTTTGACCATGGAATTGACAGTAGGGGCTAACATTGAAAGAAGTTCACTAACAATCGAATAAACACATTTATTAGGTCTCAAAGTTAAATACTTAAATTGAGTACAAGTATTTTTTTACAAAACATTATGGTCCTAAAGTTCATCTTGAATTTTTTTTTTTTTTTTATCTTACCTACTATTTATGGTATACAGAAAACATGTGTCATTACTTAATAATTTTTTTTTGCTATCTTTCCTTCAAAGCCAACTGTCTAACTTATTGTTTATAAACTAATAGTTATAAATTGTAACTTAATATTTTGTTAGATTAAATTTGAGGTAACTTCACATATAGGATGCATTTTTGCTTAATTATTTTCTCAGATCGCACAAAATGACCATAAAATAAAGTGAGTCGGAGTATTTCACTTTCTGAATTTTTTTTTTACTTGTGATTATTTCGCTCACACTAATTTTTCCTTTTACATTTGCTCCGAAAATTTTTATTTTATTAGTTAGTCTAAATTTTCATTCTCTTTATTTTTATTTTCAACAAATAACACCAAATGTATTCGATTTTTGTTGACTAAATTAAAATTTCAATTAATATTTTTGAATCTAAAAAAACATAAACAAAAAAAATTAAATAATTTTTTTTTAATATTTTGAAAAAAAAAATAGTATTATTCATATTGTCATAGTAAATATTAATAAGGCCTCATTTAACATTTTTTTGCCTGGGCCCTCCACTTATGTTGGGTCACCTCTGTTTTCATTTTATAGAAAGTAGGAAAAGTTCAAAAATGGTAGATAACATATTCAATCGGAAAAAAAATAAATGAAAAGGAAAAGAAAAGAAAAAGCACAATAGAACCTCCCTCAATCACAAGCAAAGTGCCAATTATGGTGTAAAAATGATAAAGGAAAATCTCAAAACTCGTTCGTCAACAAGATTTCTTGAAGTTGCCAAAAATACTAAATAGAAACCATCTCTTCAAGTCAGTTCAATATTTTCAATCCAACCATATTCAAATAAACAAGAACATAATACCCAATAATTTGAGTAGCCAAATCATTGCAAGCAGAGGAAGTAGCTGGGTTGGTGGGGAATAGACAAAAAATCAATTACCAATAAATCAACATGGCAATTATATACGTAAGAAATTTGAGGCTTGGCAAAAACAAATACCTTAGACATTCACAGCCAAGGAAAAACATTAAAAATATTAGTAAGTTCATATTCAAAATATTGTAACATATAGATAAGAACCAGACCGACCTAACCGGACCAATATTAACAACTCAACTGATGAAATTAGCTTTGGAACATTCTTTGATCACAACTTTCACCACACATTTCACTCTCTAAGACAACATAATATATAGGTAAGACAATTACATTTATGGAAAAGAGAAATTACCAAAAGGCCACCATTTTAAAGCAAGACAAACTGTCACTCTTTTTACAAGTGCAGTGCACATGTCAAAGGGCAATAAGATTTCCCTGTTCATTAAGGATGTCTCTGATCCTCACGATAAATTGAGACAAATATACTATTATTAGAGCAAGGACCTAAATTGATCATAGAGAAAAAGAAAAGTAAGCAGACCTTGAAAATGCTATATCACTTTCACAAGTAGATATTTCTGGTGTTGACTCGGAAAGCATTTTGCTTCCTCCTCGTGATCGATCAGACAGGTCAGAAAGATCCTTCTCGAAGTTTGAAGAGGACATGGGTGAGTGGCTTTCACGAAGGATGTTCCCATCTGATAAGGATCTTTTGAAAAGAGATCTATACATAGAAAGGACAATGGTTAGCACAGTCTGCAAAATAATATCCATATTAAACCTTTGCAGTCTATCATGTACAACAATCGTGTAAGAAGAACAGTCAAGTTGTGTGCAAATGTTGGGGAAGTTGCTACACATCTTCTCAAGTTGTCTTGAGGTAGTAACATCATGCACTCACAACTTAAAAGACCAAGAAGGAGACTCAAGATCCTTAGGAATGAAACTCTGTTGCCTTTTTGTGTTAGGCAGAAATTGTCAAGCAAACGATTGCAGCTGTAGTTTTCACCCTTTCATAACATAACTATTGTTAAGAGTCCTCTAGTGTGAAAACAAAAAAGCTTGTGATGCTGAACTGGACTCCCGATAGATAAGATATTGGAAATACCTTTGATCTCATACTACTCTTTTGACACATAATCTAATGTTCTGAAAAAATAATAAAAAACTTTCTCAAATCAAAGTCAAAGTACCATGCTATTATTACTTTATATTCATATTTCACATGGCAAAGGCATAGTCTTTTTTTTCTTCTCTCAAATAAAAACCCCATTGGCGCCATCAAAGCATATAATTAGCTAGTTCATACCTTCCATTTTCATCAATAATTGCTTGCCCGTTCCTATATGCATTGTAATGCTGATCGGAATCCAGCTCCCAGACTTCAGGTTTACCACGTTGAGGTTGAAAATGCCCCAAGAATCTGCTCAAACATTTCCATACCAACGAATTTAATGAAGTGTGTGCATTATTTAAATTGCTAGCCAAAAGAAGTCAAAAAAGTGGGCAGACTATTATAGCAGATGAGTCTCTCAAGAGTATAGACACCACATAAAACACCATTCTCATGCATGTCAAATATTTAGAGAAGAAAAATTTGGGAAGCCATTCAAGATGCCGTCAAACATATGCCCTCTATCCAACCCCACTACCCCATCTTCTCTAACACAGATTCAATTTCCAAACAAAAGAAAAACAAGAGAACCCAAAATAACTGTCTTACATGTTAATGGCATTTTGTTTCTCTGCATCCATGTAGGCATTGCTGTAGTATCGTTGAAGAGTCCTGAAGAATTCCTGGGACTGGGTGGCAGCTTTCCACTGACCCCTTCTCTCGGAGAAAATCTACATAGATCACAAAAACAAGATGTTAACAGAATAACAGATGGACCATGGTTGACCTAATAAAAACAAAATCAATCTACTTGGATTTCAGAATTTAGCACATGAAAGTGGCATCACATGTTATCTTACCTTGTTGTGAGCAGCTGAACCACCATATTGATGTGCAAGAGTATCGCCCATTCTCTCATAAAACCCCATTAATTTATCAGCTAAAGGGTCATCAAGGTCTATCTTCGTGGAATCTGTGACACCCAAAGCACGCAACTGATGTGCCAAAGCAGCCAAGCCATAGGCATACTGTGCAACGTTTGTCCGATCCAAGCAGTCTATGCAATTGGTCCTAAGCACTCCCTTTTGGAACATGGGTGGCTTGGCAGAATGATTTCCATTAGCCAGATTGTTACCTCCACTAATTTTTGTCTCCGTATTATCAGCATTATCATCATCATTGTAACAACGTTTTTTGTTGTCAATGTTGCAATGCTTTGTGGGTGACATGTCACTGGCAACAACATTCCTGCATCATATTTGTTGTCTTTAGGTTAAGATTGCCCAAAACCTTGAGCCAGTGAACTGGCACGAAACCAAAAACTAACTCAATGAATAATTCAAGTACTGCAATAAAAAGCTAGAGCTAATGACTGGCATGAGACCAGAATAAAAGCCAACAATCAGGTCAAGTATTCTATTTAGCAGTTTGCATTAATTTGAGAACAATGAAATTCACACAATAACTGATAAGAAATCAATGTCTTATACCAATTATCTGGATCATAAAAATAAGGAGATTCAAACTTATAGATTCGACATATGTCCACATTGAGTGGAAAAAAAAAACGAAAAAAAGATTTCACAAATGGATGGCTTATGCAAGTACATGACCACAGGTACCATCACACAAAATAAGAAAATCAACTATGTGAAATTTTTTTCATATGGTTTAGGAAATTCTCAAAATTGAAAGAACAAACTTACTCATAGTTAGACCACTTCAAACAGCCATCAGATCTTAATGCTGGTGGTACTTGACAATAGAAGAAACCTGTCAGTGTTAACGCATATGCAGCCACCCTTCCCAGAAGTAGCAAAACATTTGTAGCTTTGCTGTACAACCAAAGGATAACAAACAAGGAAAGAAAAAAAAAAAGAAAAGTCATAAGCTTTTACATTATAGATCAAATCTTAAGAAGAGCATAAGTATTTTTCTTTTAAAAGAGGCATTTTCATAGAAAAAGGCAAAATACCTCCGCGAGTGTTTGTGCAAATCCCAATGAAGGAACTTAAGACGATTCTCTTCTGCTAACTCTTTATTGATAGATTCAATTGCATTAGCAAACTCTGCACGAAGAATGGATTCTCGAGGCTTCTTTTCGTGAGTCTGTAGATTGCAAATTATTAAATTAATCATAAGAGTTGGAGAAAAAGGACACAAGGTAAATTTTATTGATAGAATCATCAAACAATCTGCAATAAGTTTTAAAGTATTTTTTGGCTGAATGTTTTTTTAAAACTAATAAAGAGCAAGCAATTATTCAATTTACTCAACTCTAAGTACAAAGGCCATTATAGACTCCTTTCCTACCTTAATCAAATTCAATATGATAATGGGCTTCCCGTATCTCCCGAAAAGATTTTCAAAATGCAGTCTGGTAGCCTCATAACTTTGGTCCCTCTTTGACACTGAAAATGAAAATTTTCAATCTTAAACAATTCACAAAGTACATCTATAGCTGCAATGTAAATGCAAGGACATACATGTGATATCAGGCTTGAGATTCAAACGTGAAGTTTCCTGTGACCAGAAAAGTGGGATTGAGCCACGATTTTGGACAACAGAACTAATTTGAATAGGAAACCCTTCAGGAATATCCTCAAGCACAATCTGTTCTGTCTCAACATCATTAGCAACTCTGCCCTTCTCATTTACACCTCGTTTCAGATATCTATATCAGAAGAAGGTGAAAAGCCTCATCATCATTCGAGAATTAGCGGCTATCGTTTTTCCAATGGAAAATGTTTAATGAAGAGAAAAAGGCAAAATCCAAGTAAAACAAGGCACACAAGCTGTGAAAGCAAGTTACAAAAAGACTACCAACACAAACTGCGTCAAGAAAATTAAAGAAAAAACCAAACTAAAAAACTGAATAAGTTTAGTGCAGTCTACAATAAAATTAATTCAAATAGTAAAACAACTAGATCTACACTCTGTCAGGACTCAGGAGTCAGGACTAAGATCCTAACAAAAATAATATTCAAAGAACATAATTCTAGATTGTGGGAGGTTCTTTTTTTTTTTAAAATCTCCTTTTATCTTTTCAAAGGGAGCAAAGAACGAAGCAATGAGGAGCTCTCCATAAACCCTCTTTGTTTGCTTGTTTCCATTATCACTGCCTTTCAGCAAGCAATCATTTATGAAAACCACAAATCACCATGGCACCACCCATAGCACAACAGCCAAGCAAAAAAGGAATATCAAAAGAAATTGCACCATGTAACATTGAAGGAAACAATCATGATCACCTAAATCTGCATCAACCATGAAATTTTCATACATTACTGGAAGGTCCTCTTTTTGTTTATCATGTCATCTGCAGTAAATCCAATGTCCCAAACTTCTTGGCAGACAAAAACCGCACAACACCATAGCCCATCTTTAAGGACTCCACCTGGTCACTTTTCACTTTTGAATTATATCAACTGCTGAAAGTTTCTAAATAAAGTCGATCTCAAATAGCTTTTCTCCAACATACATCAACCTTTCCTTGCATGTATGTACTTAAGTATTTCCAATTAATGCCAGCACAACTCGAACATTTTTTTTCCTTTTTCCTTGTTCAGGGCATGGGCATGGGCAACTCCAAAGTCCAGACATAAATGTGCTGCCTCTCCGAATCCAGGGATCAATGCAAATTACAGCTTTCCTGAACCATATTGTTATCCAACCAACTATAAATACAATCAGAACATAGCCCTAACAATTTGGAGCCCACTTTGACTACGAAAGTTGCAGCGTATTTGCCAAAGTATTTTGTTATAGTTTTTTGGAGCGTGAACCAAAAGTTCTCCAAGCCTCCAATAAATTGCCAATATTCCCAACAACAATATGCTCATACCAACACTTTATTTTACTGACTAAGATTCGATTGAATAGGACACAGCAGCATACAGATGGAATCAAATAACCCAACTAGATAAGTCTACAAATATAAACACCCATATTCCTGTAGTTGCAATACGGGCAACTCAAGTTTAAGATCTATTAATTAAGGGCATCTCAATGAATTTCATTCTATCAAGGAACAAAGCATGCAGGACAAGGGTTACTAAATGATTCAAAATATAACCAGAAACACATCCCATAAATCCAAAGTATGCTGCGGGATTATGTATTCATTCTGACCTGGTGCCAGCAAAATGACGTGAACGTCTTGCAATGAGAGTCAGCTTGAGGTCCCGCCCAGAAATAGATAGTGGAGCCTGGATTCACAAAGCATAAAGCCATCAATGATACATCAAACTTTTAAGACTGGCAGGAATGCAAGAGAACCTATACAGTTACGCAAGCAATGCAGAAAAAATATCAAAAATAAATAAAATGGCCACCAACAATTTTCAGATGAGTAAACTACCACCAAGGTCATATAGTGTAGCCTTGTCACTCCCAACCCAATAGAAACTGCAACAATTTCCTAGCATACCCTTCCTTTAAAAAAAATTATTCTCAAATCATATAAATTGCAAGAAGCGGATCCATCTGCACGCATACTGAGATTTCTAAACTATAATTCTATGACTAGGATTCTGGTAGATAAACCACGATATGGTGAATCTCATAATGGTTGATTGGACTCACGAGGAGCGGAACCAAAAAATTATTTTTGGTGGGCACTTTAACTACAAGGTTTAATTTTTGTTTTCTTTCAATAGATAAAAGTAAAATAATACAGTTGCACCATATATCATACATAAAAATTCATTAAACACAAAAGGGCCAAAAGTCAATAACAAATAAACAAAAAAAAAGAAGACCAATTACAACCCTTTACAAAAACATAGGACTAATTGCAGCTTTAATGATTTATTTGAAAGCATTGCATGATAACTTCATTGTAAAGCCATAGAATGATATATAACTAAAGCTATCATTCATCCATTGATTATCCATTTCAATTACGCAACCGATTTTCACAATCTTCAATTTTTAATTCATTTGATAAACTATTTTTAAATTATGATCATTCAGTTATCGAAATAGAAAAGTCATTAAACAAAAATCCGGAAGTAAAACAAACCTAACAATCAATAATTGCAGAAATAAAGACAATACATCGTAGAATTTTTTTTGATATGAGATTAAACTTTCATTTCATAGAACGAAAGATGGAAATTTCTCAGGGACAATAAATGGTGGATAAGGAATCCACCCAAAAGACAAAAAATTGAAATACAAAAAAAACTATTAACGACAAACAGCCTTCCAATTGAGTTGCAAAACCGTTTAAGGAGGGTCACTAAACTCCTTAGTAACTACCACCCAAAGAGATGTCAAGAACTTCACTCTTTCCTATATTTTCCTCCTCCTCGCCATCCACACCACCCCAAAAATTACCAAAGTAACGCATCTCCGAAAAATGGAAGATTTTTACCACATCCAAAACCATCACAAAAAGTGAAGCACAATTGCAAGGTGTAACCCACACCAAATCCGTCTCCAACAAGATCTTATGTCATAAGAAAATAGCAATGGGGCAATAAAGGAATAGATGATCAAGACTTTCACAAAATTGCTTACACATAAATATAATACACCAATGAGGGAAAATATAACTGTTAGGCCTTTTCTTCTTTAACGAGTCACCAATATTCAACTTATCATGAGCTATCAACAAAGCAAGCCAATTTCAAGCAATTTCACTTTCGAATTAAGAATGTATAATCAAAAAACTCGTAAATATGCAAAAAAAGGCTAATGGAAGAAAGCCCTAACACAATAAAAAAATGACTAAACAAGTACGTAATGTTGTAATGGTCAAAAGGTCAATTTTGATAAGAGCCATGCTTCCTCTTGAACAGAACTCCTCGCAGAAATTCCAGATCATTGATGAGGAATCCAAAAATGTAATTTTCCTATCAAGTACCTAGATGTTCCCTTGTCCCTCAAGAGAATAAAGAAAGATCATTGCCTTCCTTTACTTGAGAAAATGAAAAAGAGAATATCAGGTTGGAAAAACAAATTATTGTCTTCTGGAGTTCAAACCAATCACAACTCATATTCTCAAAAGATACAATCTATATAAGAAAACACATAACAACTTGAATTTTTATCCCCTACATATTTTTCCCCTTAAAAACATCACATCACTCATTTCTATCACATGTTTAATCATTTATATATTTCCCCCTAAAAATATCACTTCACTCATTTTTATCATATGTTTAATCATTTAATATTTGATTAATTTGTAGTTAATATAATTTTTATTTCAAATATTATTCATATACGATAGTATACACATGTTGAAAAAATTTAATATAGTGCGATCAATATTTTAGATGCTTAAATTTTATATTTTATCGTACCTTCAGGCACTGATTATGACTAGTTGAATTATGAAAGTGGTTGAGTAGTCACAATAAGATGTATTTGTGTAATGCTTAAATAATTGAGATCCGCCCATCGGACCCACAAAATTACCACAACGGTAGACCACAAACCAGCTCCCAACCTCACCTGCTTGAAAAAGCCATAGACCAAAGCAACTGTCCAAAGAGTATTCTGGAGGAGATTCCGTATTCCACGAGTCAAGAACTCATTCCAAACAAACATTGTTTCATAAAGGACCTGCCCCATCTCGTCATCACACTTATTCTTTTGAAGGCTGCGCATAACATGGTATGAGTAGCTGAAAAAGAAGTCCTTCGTAAGATCCACCATGCATAGGAGCTTCTTGTATCTATGCCGTCAATGGAACAAAAAAAATAATTATAACTACACCCCTGCAAAATTTTCAACAAGAACTTAAGAGAAGAAAAATAAGGGCATAAAACGTAGATTGTGAAACAACAAGAAGATATAAGACTTTTCAAATCAACTCAAACCCCTTGTAAAATGTGATTCCACATTCAATAATTATCCCAGGTCAACTTCATACTTTCTAAAGGATGATTAAGTAAAACACAAGCTCGTTTAAGAGACAAGCGAGGGATTTTTTTTATATACGCCCATGAAACTCATGTATATAGGAAATAAGTTATTAGAGCAAGCACTTAAGAGGATGTCAATTCTCCACCATAATGAGGGAAATGCGAACTCCACGATTATTTTTTTCATAACTAAGAAAGGGAGAAAAAAAATAAAGAAAGAATGATGTAAAAAGACAACCTAGTCCCCTTAACCCGCCTTGGTCCACCAATGGAGGGGCCTGCAGGGGTGAAGAGACATACACCTAGCCTCCAGAATTACTTATACAAAGTGACTGCCTTCGAACACAATCATCTATTCCCACACCAGCGGTCCCCCAATCAGATACTAACTGAAACTCTCAAGAAATTTGAGGCTAAAAAAAGGATAATCTTTGTATTCTTTTAAAAACGACAAGGACATATATATTTTACATGCAGAATGGACAGTAACCTGTTTTCATTCTTAGAATTAACCACATTCGATCGAACGGCAGGATTCGGAAGGGGTATCATCTCATCTTCGTTACAGCGTAGACAGTATTGACCACAAATTGCACCAATCTCCTCCTTTTCGTAATGAGCAGCATGTAATAAGCCCCAGAAATTTAATGAACCCTAAAAAAGAGGAAAACACAATTAATATTGTTATCACCATAACTGAGTCTCCATTGGCAGAAGAATTTACAATTAAAATCTACATACCAACAATTCCATAACAAGTAGTGACAAACTTTAGCCCCCCTGTGGCCTTATTTCCCTCGTGTATCCTTCTTACAGGTCAGAGCATTCACTTTCTGTATAAGTGGTAGAATCTTCACGAATATTAAGCTCGGAAGGCTCCAATCTATCAATTTTTAACACTCTCCAGTATGTTCTACTCTTATCCCTCCTATCATATAAAATTCTGCAGCAAAATAGTTGAAATAAGAATTGGGTAAGCATGCACAATTAGAAAAAAAAAAAAGAGAACATTGTAGTGTACACAACTCACATTGCAATGACAAGTACGATCTTTGTGATATGAGGAGCTAGATCAAATCTGTTTGCAATTACTATACAACTTTGAATTATAATTCTACTATTGCTTTTCATCAGCCCAAGATGACATTGCTTCACCGACATCAATTTCATGAGAAGGAAACACAGTTAATTATGAACACAAAATGGCAAGTTAAATTATAAAGGCAGCAAGTTCAATGACCTACTAACAAATTGACAGCAAGTAGAGAGAAAAACAACTAAATTAATGTTAGGGAAAAATTCCTTCTAACTCCCCTGTGGTTTACCTTTTTGCACTTCAACGCTTAACAGTTAAATATAGCCAGATGACCCTCACGTGATTAGTGGATTAAAAATGAACAGTCATAATTTCTGTCCAAATAAACAAGAGGTGTGATACATGCACTTGATTTGAGAGTGTGACTAAATACTAATTTCAGAAGACAAATACCCTTATATGTTTTTACAATTGCAAAATTACCATATTGCCTGATGAACAAATTAGACTGTCACTTTCTCCACTTACGAAGATGATGGGGGTCAAAGAACAGATAGTGGAGGTAGCGATTAAGGTCCAACTTTGATACCTCGAAGGTGATGTTGAATTTGGTGAGGTGATAATGAGGGAGGGACACAAGAAAACAGAAAGTAGGTGACGATTGTGCAAAAAGGTAAGTGCCTGTGACAATTGAGATATACCGGTGAATGACAGTAGTGCGACAGTGATGGTGTTGAGGTTGTTGTGGTAAATTGGTTGGTGACAATAGCATAGTTATACATATCGTACGATAACGTCACGATACACCTGAAAAATGATGTGCATCGTATCTCTGTATCGTTTTTTGCACTGTATCGTACGATACGATACGTCCGATACGTGACGATTTTGTTTTTTTTTTTTATTTTT